GGACATTTCCATCCAGCTGTGGGGTCCCTGTCCCTTTAAGTCTTTCAAAAAGCACTCACTTTTCTTTGTCCCAGGGGCACCGGCTGATGGGACCCACTCGCAGGTTTCACTGTCCCATTTCTCTAGTATCCAGCACCTCACGCACTGTGTGTCTGCGTTCCCAGTGCCAAAGTCTAGGGCTGGGTGTTTAGCAGTGCTGGGCTCCCTCTCCCTCCTGGCTCTGACTCCTCTCCTCCTGCTGGGAGCTGGGGTGAGGGGCGCTTGGGTCCCGCCAGGCCGTGGCTTGTATCTTACCCCTTTGTGATGCACTGGGTTCTCACAGGTGTGGATGTAGCCTGGCTATTTTCCTGTATCTTCTGGTCTCTCTTTAAGGGATAGTTGTATTTGTTGAATTTTCAAAAATATATATGGTTTTGGGAGGAGATTTCCGCTGCTCTACTCACACTGCCATCTTGGCTCCACTCCCTGTTCTATTGTTCTTGATGCAACTGTGAATGGACTTGTTTTCCTCATTTCTTTCTCTGCTAGTTCATTGTTAGTGTTTTGGAATGCCACAGATTTCTGTCTATTAATTTTGTATCCTGCAACTTTTCTGAATTCCAATATTAGATCTAGTAGTTTTGGAGAGGAATCTTTAGGGTTTTTTGTGTACAATATCATGTCATCTGCAAATAGTGACAATTTAACTTCTTCTTTGCTAATCTGGATGCCTTTTATTTATTTGTGTTGTCTGATTGCCATGGCTAGGACCTCCCGTACTGTGTTGGATCGAAGTGGGAAAAGTGGGCATCCTTGTCTTGTTCCCAATCTTAGAGGAAAAGCTTTCAGCTTCTTGCTGTTAAGTATGATGTTCGCTGTGGATTTGTCATATATGGTCTTTATTATGTTGAGGTACTTGCCCTGTATACCCATTTTGTTGAGAGTTTTTATCATGAAAGGATGTTGAATTTTGCCAAATACTTTTTCAGCATCTATGGAGATGATCATGTAGTTTTTGTCCTTCTTTTTGTTGATGTGGTGCATGATGTTGATGGATTTTCGAATGTTGTACCATCCTTGCATCCCTGGAATAAATCCTGCTTGATCATGATGGATGATCTTTTTGATGTATTTTTGAATTTGGTTTGCTAATATTTTGTTGAGTATTTTTGCATCTACATTCATCAGGGATATTGGTCTGCAATTTTCTTTTTTTGTGGTGTCTTTGCCTGGTTTTGGTATTAGAGTGATGCTGGCCTCATAGAATGAGTTTGGAAGTATTCCCTCTTCTTCTACTCTTTGGAAAACTTTGAGGATGGGTATTAAGTCTTCACTAAATGTTTGATAAAATTCAGAGGTGAAGCCATCTGGTCCAGGGGTTTTGTTCTTAGGTAGTTTTTTGATTACCAGTTCGATTTCGTCGCTGGTAATTGGTCTGTTCAGATTTTCTGTTTCTTCCTTGGTCAGCCTTGGAAGGTTGTATTTTTCTAGAAAGTTGTCCATTTCTTCTTGGTTATCCAGTTTGTTAGCATATAATTTTTCATAGTATTCTCTAATAATTCTTTGTATTTCTGTGGTGTCCATAGTGAGTTTTCCTTTCTCATTTCTGATTGTGTTTATGTGAGTAGACATTTTTTTCTTGATAAGTCTGGCTAGGGGTTTATCTATTTTGTTTATTTTCTCAAAGAACCAGCTCTTGCTTTCATTCATTCTTTCTATTGTTTCATTCTTCTCAATTTTATTTACTACTGTTCTAATCTTTATTATATCCCTCCTAGTGACTTAGAGCCTCATTTGTTCTTCTTTTACTAGTTTCATTAATTGTGAGTTTAGATTCTTTTACTAGTTTTGTTAACTGCTCATATGGGTTTGTTCTTCTTTCCTGAGGTAGTCTTGTATTGCAATATATTTTCCTCTTAGCATGGCCTTTTCTGCATCCCACATCTTTTGCAATGTTGAATTAGTGTTGTCATTTTTCTCCATATATTGCTTGATCTCTATTTTTTTTGGTCATTGATCCATTGGTTATTTAGGAGCATATTGTGAAGCCTCCATGTGTTTGTGGAATTTTCCATTTCCTTTGCATAATTTATTTCTAGTTTCAAACCTTTGTAGTCTGAGAAACTGGTTGGTACAATTTCAATCTTTTTGAATTTCCAAGGCTCTTTTCCTGGCCTAGTATATGATCTATTCTTGAAAATGTTCCATGTGTACTTAAGAAGAATGTGTATTCTGTTGCTTTTGGGTGTACAGTTCTGGAGATGTCTGTTAGGTCCATCTGTTTTAATGTGTTGTTCAGTGCCTCTGTGTCCTTGCTTATTTTCTGTCTTGTTGATCTGTCCTTCAGAGTGAGTGGGGTGTTGAAGTCTCCTAGAATGAATGCATTGCATTCTATTTCCTCTTTTAATTCTGTTAGTATTTGTTTCACATATGCAGTGCTCCTATGTTGGGTGCATAGATATTTATGACAGTTATATATTCTGGTTGGAGTGACCCTTTTATCATTATGTAATGTCCTTCTTTGTCTCTTTGTCTTTCTTTGTTTTGAAGTCTATTTTGTCTGAAGCAAGTACTGCAACTCCTGCTTTTTTCTATTAGTTGCATGGAATGTCTTTTTCCATCCCTTCACTTTTAGTCTGTGTATGTTTTTGGGTTTAAAGTGAGTCTCTTGTAGGCACCATATAGATGGGTCTTGTTTTTTATCCATTCAGTGACTGTATGTCTTTTGATTGGTGCATTCAATCCATTTACATTTAGGGTGATTGCAGGCTTTAGATTCGTTNTTTGCTTAGTAATTAAGTGTTCTACTTTCTTTACTGTGGTTTTATTTCCTCTGGTAACAGCTATTAAATCTTAGGAACACGTCCATCTGTAGCAGTCCCTCCAAAATAGACTGTAGAGATGGTTTGTGGGAGATAAATTCTCTCAGCTTTTGCTTATCTGGAAATTGTTTAGTCCCTCCTTCAAATTTAAATTATAATCTTGCCAGATAAAGTAATCTTGGTTCCAGGCCTTTCTGCTTCATTACATTAAATACATCATGCCACTCCCTTCTGGTCTGTAAGTTTTCTGCTGAAAAGTCCGATGTGCTTTCCTTTGTATGTGATCTTATTTTTCTCTCTGGCTGCTTTTACCAGTCTGTCCTTATCCTTGATCTTTGCCATTTTAATTACTATATGTCTTCATGTTGTCTTCCTTGGGTCCCTTGTGTTGGAAGATCTGTGCATCTTCATGGCCTGAGAGACTATCTCCTTCACCAGATTGGGGAAGTTTTCAGCAATTATGTCTTCAAAGACACTTTATATCCATTTTTCTCTCTTCTTCTTCTTCTGGTACCCCTATAATGTGAATATTGTTCCATTTGGATTCATCACACAGTTCTCTCAATATTCTTTCATTCTTAGAGATTCTTTTTTCTTTCTGTTTCTCAGCTTCTTTGTATTCCTCTTCTCTAGTTTCTATTCCATTTATTATCTCCTGCACTGTATCTAGTCTGCTTTTAATACCCTCCATTGTGCTCTTCAACAATTGGATCTCCATCCAGAATTCATTCCTGAGTTCTTGAATATCTTTCTGTACCTCCATTAGCATGTTAATAATTTTTATTTTGAACTCCCTTTCAGGAAGAGTCATGAGGTCTATGTCATCTTTCTCAGGGGTTATATTAATTTTACTCTGTATGAGTTTCCTTTGGTGTTTCATATTTGTGTATGGCACCTTCTTGTGCCCAGAAGCTCTACTCTCTGGAGTTGCTCTGCCCTGAAGCATTGTCAGGGGTTGCAGGGGAGTAGTATTGGTGCCTGAGGGTAGGAAAGAGATGTTTCCTGCTTCCCGGCTGCTAATGCCTGTCTCCACTGCCTTAACCAGTGGGCTGAGCACAGAGGTATAAGCCTCTATGCTTTGCGCTTGTAGTTGCTGTTGGCAGATCTTCCCTCTGGCTGGCCTAATGCCAGGGTAGGGTTTGCTGGTTTGCAAGCCATGGGGGGCTGGCTGGGAGAAAGGCACAGTAGGCTGTGTATCACAGATGGGTCCTTTGAGGTTTGTAGCCAGCCAGGGAGCTGGAGCACCTGAAGATTGTAAAAGTTCCCAACCTGCTGGGCAGACTGCACCCAGACAATTTTGTCTACCTGTCCTTTCTCCTGAGCAGTAAGCTCTGTGCAATCCTTGCCACTTTAGCAGCTCTCTTGCTAAGGGCTTCCTTGTTATGAAGTCTCTCAGACTGGCCACCTTTCTTTTGTCCCAGAGCCACCAGACATGGATCCCTGCTTTCCACAAGTGGCTGGAATCTCAGTCTCTCTAGGAATTCTGCCTGTCTTAGCTTTCCGACCCCCTAATCATGAGAGTACCATGCAAGCACCATGAAATGTAGGTTTGTACTCCCAGAGCAGATCTCTGGCATTAGGTATTCAGCAGCCCCAAGCCTCTACTCCCTCCTCACTCCATTTCTATTCTTCCCGCCGGTGAGCTGGGGTGAGGGAAGGGCTTGGGTCCCACTGGGCCACAGCTTTCATATGTTACCCTGTTCCATGAGGTATGCTCTTTTCTCCAGGTGCATGCAGTCTGGAGCAGTTGCTCTCTCAGGATTAGTTGTATTAATTATATTTTCATATTTTATGTGGTTTTAGGAGGAAGCCTGTCTCACCTCTCATGCTGCCATCTTTAATCCTGTCTCCTGGTGCCTTACTTTTTATCCAGCAATTTCCCCACAGAGTTGTTGTCCGAATTATTTACCCTCCATATGTAGAAGCCATATGGCAGAGAATTGGCCAGCATCCAGGCAGTTTTCCAAGGCAGTCAATCAATCCATACATAACTGTGAGTTCCTACTCTGTGTAATTCACTGCCAGGTGGAATAAAATGATGAGGGAAACAGTATTTTCTAAGCACAACCTATTAACCAATATACAACGGTCTATGAAGACTAGAGAGCAAGGGGCTGGCGTGTCAACAGTGAAGACACTGAGCCGGGAAGCAGAACCATGAAGTGTGCATACTGGCTTGTGCCCCATGGTTACACCCACCCGCGGGGCTGCTGGGTGGCAGTGTGGAGGGGGACACATGCCCTGTCCCAAGTGTGGGCTAGGGCAGTACTGGGCTGGAAAACTTGCTGCAGGTCATTCCTTCAGAGATGCTCTCTTAAAGCTGTTTTTCCCTGTGGAGAAAATAAGAGGATGGCAACAATGAGGAAAAATTGTGGCTATTTTAATTCTATTGTGGTTTTTTTTTTAACTTTGAGAAAAATATATGTGAAATTACAATAAGAATTTAGGGGAAGAAACTCCTGAAAAAGGAGCATGACAAACTCTTTGAGCATACCATGAATTAATGAGGACTTAACTTCACTTAACAATAGAATAAAAAGAATACTTTTATGCTGATTTAGAGTTGATCATTGGAAGAAAACTCAAGTTCACGTGTTACTGGCTGTAGTATAATATTTCTTTTCAAAGTCATTATTACCATAATGTTTTGAACTACATTCATTTCATTATGTAATGTGTGGGTACTCATTTTTGTGAACTATGCCATTTATTGTAGATCTTTATATAGCATTTTCCAGGTTATATCTCTAACGACAGGTTTAGGTTTAGGAAATTTAGGGGCCAACAGGAGAGGTGAAAAATTGTTAAGGAGATAAAGTTTGTCTTTACCTCTGCCACACTATTCCTTTCCTGGCTTTGTCCTCCCTGCTATGATATCCCCAATACCCTTACTTCACTCATGAGGATTCCTTTCCCCCATAAAAATCAGAATTTAGTGAAGAATGACTTCAGTGATTTACATTCTCCCTCACCACAAGCATAATTTCCATATAATCCCCACCAAATTGAGGATTTCCAAATGTCACTGAATATGGGGCAGAATATCAGGGGGGCCTACAGATATTTGCTATATGCCTAAAATAAATTCATGATTAACATTTGTAGGCTGTACCTGTTAACAAAGCATTTACAGCAAGGTGCAAAAGAGACAAGAGGAAAACATTTGCCTCGGAAAGGTAGAATTCAGAATTCTGAGAGTTTGGTATAGATTTTAAGCAAACTTATTTCCACACTAAATAGATGTAACCACGTTTGTAAATTTATATAGTAAACAGGGTGGCAATAACATAAGAGAAAAACATACATCATTGGCATGTAATAGTAGCCATGCATATATAATAAATGTGTGAATATGATCTTTACTCATTAAAGAAAGTACAGAGGTATAGAGGATTTCATCACTTCTGTTAGCTCATGAATTAGTGTGAGCTATTGTGGATAGTTGCAAGTGGTAAATTTTCATCTCTTTCAGTATATTTCACAGTTTAGACTTTTAATTTATGTAATTCTCCTATTCCTGCTTAGTACGAGAGGCATTCCTGCCTGCATTTCTTTTTAGAAAAAAAAATCTCCCTTTACATTCTTGAAAAGGCAAAATTATTTAGTTTAATAGTGATTAGCAAACCTGCAATTCTATGCTTCTGTCAATATAGCTGAATATATAATGTCAAAGTACTGGCCTTAAAATGCTTTAAAGTAAGTGCAAATAATGGGAAAATTTTAAGCTTGGATTTTTAACTTCTAAAAAACAGGTAATAGGCAGTACCTATGAATAAATATAACCAAAGAGGCAAAAGACCTATATTCTGAAAACTATAAGACATTGATTTAAGAAATTGAAGAAGACACAAATAAATGGAAACCTATTCCATGCTATTTGTTAGGAAAAAGTAATATATTGTTAAAATGGCCACACTGTGCAAAGCAATCTATAGATTCAATGCAATCTACATCAAAATACTAACGGCATTTTTCACTGAACTAGAGCAAATCATCCTAAAAATTGTGTGGAACCACAACACAACACAAGACAACACAACACAACAAAACAAAACAAAACAAAAAAACCCAAGTAGCCCAAAAATCTTGAGAAAGAACAAAGCTGAGGTTGTCACACTCCTTGATTTCAAACTATACTACAAAGCTACAGTGATTAAAACAGTATGGTGCTGACACAAGAATAAATACATAGGTCAGTGAAATAGGATAGAGAGCCTAGAAATAAACCCTTACCTATGTGATCAATTAATATATGAAAAAGGAGGCAAGAATATACAATGGGGAAAAGATGGTCTCGTCAATAAATGATTGGGAAAACTGGACAGCTACATACAAAAGAATGAAACTGGACCAGTGTCTTACACCATGCACAGAAATAAACTCAAAATGGATTAAAAATCTAAAACCATAAAACTCCTATAAGAAAACAGGCAATAAGCTTTTAAACATCAGCAGTAGTAATTTTTTTCTGGATATGTCTCCCCAAGCAAGGGAAACAAAAGCAAAAATAAATGTGGGTCTATGTCAAACTATAAAGTTTCTGTGAGCAAAGGAAACCACCAATAAAATAAAAAGACAACCTACTCTATGGAAGAGTACATTTGCAAATGTTACATCTGGTAAGGGGCTAATTTCCACACTATATAAAGAATTCATTCAAGTCCACACCAAAAAAACCCCCAAATAATCTGATCAAAAAATGGTCAGTGGACTTGAATAAACATTTATCCAAAGAAGATATACAGATGGCCAAAAGACATACGAAAGATTCTCAACATCACTTATCATCAGGGAAATGCAAATCAAAACCATAATCCGATATCATCTCACACTTGTCAGAATGGCTACTATATAAAAGACAAGAAATAACAAATGTTGGTGAGGCTGTAGAGAAAAGGGAATACTTGTACACTGCTGGCGGGCTTGCAAATTGGTGCAGCCACTACAGAAAACAGTATGGAAGTTTCTCAAAAAACTAAAAATAGAAATAACATGTGATTCAGCAATTCCACTTCTGGGAATTTACCTGAAGAAAACAAAATCAGTAACTGAAAAGATATATATGCTCCTGTGATTATTGCAGCATTATTTATAATACCAAAGTAAGGTAGCAACCTAAATGTCCATTGTTAGATGAATGGATAAAGAAGATATACACAGTGGAATACTATTCAGTTCAGAAAAAAGACATCTTGCCATTTGCAACAACCTGGATGGACCTAAAATGTATTATGATAAATTAAATAAGAAAGACAAATACTTTACGACTTCATTTATATGTGGAACCTGAAAAACAAAATGAATGAACAAAAAAACAAAACTAAATAGACTCATAAACACAGAGAACAGACTGGTAATTGCCACAGGAGGGGTGGGGTGGGGAGTGAGTGAAATAGGTGAAGGGAAAAAAGAATAGTGAGAATGTTGGTATATTGACTGGGCAGTGATTACATGAGTGTAAACGTGTCAAAATTCAACAAACTGTATACTCTGTATACTAAGATATGTGTACTTTAGTGTATGCACCTCATTATAAGAAACTAAAAATTAGAAAAAATAGGTAATAGGTATACACAATAAATTCCAAAATATATAAATGGTATATAGTTCATTCTCTTCCTGTCTCCCTGCTGCCCAATTCTGCTCCCCTGATGAAAATATTGCCCTTATTTTCCTGTGTATCTTCCAGAGGTAGCCTGTGTGTTCCATTTTTTTTATGTTTCATGTTTCATTTATTTATTTTAGATGACTCTAGAATTTATGATAAAAGCATGTACTTTTTATACTGGAAATTTAGTGAAGACCCACTTTTGGTAAGAATGCGATTTTTATATACTGTTTCTTCCTCTTTGTGTTCTTAATATTCTTCATATAAAGAACAACTCACCCACTTTTTCCCAGTTGTGCTGATTCTATTTATTCGTGTCTCCACCATTTTGTATTACATATTTCTTTTATATTTAATCAGCTTTTATGTAGCTAAAATATGTTCTTTACCTCTTTAAGGTATTACTTTTTTGTTTTGTTTTTCTTTTTTTAGTAAAACTTCAATATTTAATGTAGAGGTCCACAGTCCCTTATCTGAAACCCTTGGAGCCACTTATGCTTTGGAATTTAGACTCCTTTTTAAAAAATTTTAGAAAAGTAATCCCTGCACATACTGTGTATTATATAACATCTCCCGTGGTGTCTGCGGAGGCACACTGGAACCAAACATATTTGAACCTCTTAGTATTTCAACAGTAAAATTTATATACATTCTTATTAAGTGAAATGAAGAAAGATTATGAACAGCCATGTGTGAAATGCAGAGAGGTTACAATGCAAAATTAATTGAGGTCAGGTGTAGTTTTGCCTCTAAATAGGTTATGAAAAAAACCCTCGGATTTCAGAGCTTTCTGGGTTTTAGAAATGTAGGAAAGGGAAGTATAAATTCAAAAGAAATGCAAAGCTGGATTGGAAACAAAACAATAAAAACAATTTAACACTTTCTTTATGTGCTGTGGTTTTTGAGGAGATAAAGGAGGTACTACTTCCCCCTCTCAGTTTGCTTACTAATGTATAGCCATAACATCCAAGTATTATCTTTCAGTGCTTTCTGCCTTAGCTCTTGGAGAGACATAGCAATACCTCGTGCAGATGAAGAGGACACTGTGGCTGAAAAAATGGAAAAAGCAGTGGAATATGACAATTTCAGACTTAAAAATTAGGTATTTCATCACTGGCACTCTTACTTGAAAGCTCGAAGAGAGCAACTTCAAGGTAAATCTTTACACAGTAGCAATTAGTTTTATTTGTGTTTTCAAAGAATCAACAAACTTAGCAGTTAAGCATAGTTTGTACTAGAGAACTTGTTATTTTTCTGCCTAGAGAATTGTTACGAAATATAAAGCCACTAATGTAAAACTTTTAATGAGGTTGTCTCAAAAGGTTTTGTTATTGTAATAGAAAGCAGGCGTATTTAAAATAAAATCCTCTGTATTTGTATGATGTATGTAAAAATATAAATATAAACCAGGGTCTACTATCAGCTTCTTTACATAACAGAGTTGGTATATTGCAGACTGGTAACAAGGCTGTAGAAAGCTCTCCATTCTTTATAGATATTTCATTTTATGTTGAGGAAACAAAGAAAAATAGTTTTCTTTTACTTAAACCTGTGGTAGGTGTAATGAGTGGATGGTGCGTGTATGTGATGTTATGAGCAGGGTAGAGAACTCCAGCCTTTTGCTCAGATTTTATCCACTTCACTAGATACTGACTTACGTCTGTTGCTAATCACAGAATCAGTTCCTCTTGTCTGCAACTGTGGGTACATAAAGATAACATG